CTCTCTCTCTCTCTCTCTCTCTCTCTCTCTCTCTCTCTCTCTCTCTCGGCAAGTAAGAGTGTCCCGGGTGTCCATAACTCCTAGCAGTTTTTCATACACAGCCACTGAGGCTACTTCTCTTTTGATTTATCTGGGATGATAAAGATCCCTACTTTAGAACTACGCATTTACTGCTGATGTGAGGTCTAGCATCCCTTTTGCCCCAGGAAGAGGCTGTGTGTCCCTATAGTGAGTGCTTCCTAGGTCTGGACAGGTAGAAACCATGTGCAGCACCTGCCAATGGCCTTGGGTCCTGTTTGATCTAGGAGCAGCTGCTGCTATCCACTCTGACTCTTGACTCCCTGTGTGGCCAAAGGCCAGAAGACTATTCAAAAGTGGCACTGAGCTCAGTCACTAACTACTGCCCACTAATGATTAACATGTTACCCATACTCTCCTTACACCAGCACAACTCTCAAACTAGCCACAATTTTCTTATTTTCCTAAAGAAGGGCAGAGGCAAAGACTGGTTCCACCCTTGTTCTTTATTTTCTAGATGGGGAAACTGAGGCATGGAAGGCAAAGAAGCATCCTGAAACAGTTAACTCATCTCCACCACACAGTGTCTGGGCCAACTCCAGGCTAAAGGCCTCTGTGCACAGGACTAGCTGGGGTCACAGCTCCCAGAACCTCTGAACAGTGCAGGTTAAGGGAAGGTTCTTATTATTCCTAGGACCATGTATTCTTAGGAGTCCTGCTGTCCCTAGTGTGTGTGTAAATACAAAGTAAGTCATCCACACCGTGTGCATGCAGAAATAGAGCAAGTCTTGCACAGAGGTCCTTCCTACAATACCCCCAAACAGGGCCAACCTCTCCTTTTCCAGGGACCCTTGTAAGCCTAGCCTCGGTTTTCCTCAATATGGTAAGACCTAGAGGACCATGGAGCTTTATGGTCACTCAGCCTGTCTAGCGCATCCCAGACCCAAGAGGTGTAAGAGTGAAGTGCGCCCAAGCCACTTTGCTGGTATTTGAATCCCAGAGGAGAGTAGGAAGGGGTGGAGAAAAGAGAGGAAAGGAGAATCAGCTCCCAGGAAAGGGAAAATAGAGAAAACTGAGGGACCCAGAGACTGGGAGAGGAGTCTTCAATTCAGTCCTTGGCCTCAGATGTCACAAAGGCCAGTCCACCATAAAGAAGACATGTCCCCACAGCCATTGAGGAAAGACATACGTTCACAAGGTTCTTTGGGACACCTCCAAGCTGCCACCTCAAACACTCAGAGAACCAGGAATTACCTCAAAGCATGTGGCTGCCAGGCTGCAGGTTTTCTGAGAGCTGGCAGGGTGGTGACAGCTGCGGGTACTATGGGGACAATACCCATGGCCATTTCTCCTGTTTCCACAGCCAAACCTGGTGGCATCCTGGTCATGAAGTCCTGTGCCCCAACCTGCCCCAACAACACCGTGTCTTCAGATGGCCATGCCTTCTCTGTCTCCTGCTGTCAGGGCAGCCAGTGCAACTTCAGTGCTGCCTCAGGTCTGACCGGCAGCCTTGGGGCTATATGGGCCAGCGCCTCTATCAGCCTACTGTGGGCACTGCTTCAAGCTGCCTGATGAGGGCCTGGGTGGCCTTTCCATATCATCGGAGATCTGTCTGCAGCCTTGGCAGCATCCTACCCCAACCCAGCCCGGGCTGTTACTTTCTTTCACCATTAACCCCAAGACACATTCACTCTTCCCTTCTCACACAGAAAGGAAGTAAGGACACCTGTCCCAAAGGCTCCTGCCCCAGAGCCCAGCTCTCTTGCCTCAGGAAATTCTCCAACAGGGCACAGGGACACACCTTCCCAAGATCGTCACCTCTATAAGACCTCAGCCTTTTATTGAGTCCTGGGAGTGCCTAGCTACCTCCAGTAGGAAGAGCTGATGTTTTTGTCCAACTCCTTCCACCCTCAACCTTAGGCTTAGCATTTGTACTACCTTCTCCTTGCCTGAAAGGATGCTATATATGGCCATCTGGATCCCTGGCCCCCCCTTCTATGTGTGAAGTGACCCTGGCATATGGCATGATTGTAAGATTTGGGCACTGTCTAACTGAACATCAGCTTTTAAGAGATCCCCTGACTTCCCACCGTGTGTGTCTGTGTGTAGGGATAAGGCAGATCACCTTGGGCTTGATGTCAGGTGTTGGAATGCGTATCCATCCTCCTTGGGCATGGGGAAACCTGCTTTGTCTCCCTGGAAGCATCATCTTGCCAGCACCTTCCCGGATGCTATCCTAGGAGAAGAATAAATGTGCAAGTCTGCTTGGTCCAAGGTGTTGTGTCTTGGGCATTTCTGAATCTTGGTCAACCACATCCTCAGAGACAGGCAGGTGGACTTGAGACAGGGCCAGGTGGAGTTCTTAATGTACAAATAAGCCCAGGTGCAGGAATGGTGCCTCTGCCTTGGACTCAGGCCTTCTGTGTCTGTATTGGGTCCCATTGGCCAAAATAGAGGAAACAGACTTCTACCACACCCCAACTTACAAGGGTTCCCTGAGAGCTCTTCTGAGCTACAGTGTCTCTAGTGCTCCTACTGGTGAGATGATCGCATCCGTCACAGTGTCCCTGGGTCCCCAAAAGTCCATATTTTTGGGTTGGTGGCACGGCAAACCCTCAGCTTTCTGAACAGTCACCAGTACTCTGAGGCCACCCAAAACCATTTCTCCTTGTGGGCTCTTCTTGAGGGGCAAAGCCAGAGCCCCTCAAGTCTGGAGAGCTTTATTCCCTACCCCTGTTGTCTTTCCCTGTCACTGTAATAAAACACTCTGACAAAAGCATCTGGAGAAAAAGTTTATTTGGCTCTCCCTTCAAGGTCCAGCTCATCATGGTAAAGAGGTCAAGGCAGCCAGAACCTGAAGTCTCAGGAGCAGTGAGCTAGGGTGGTGGAGAGGGCTCTCACCTTATCACATACCTGCAGCTTCAGAGGGCAAGAAAGGTGGTGGGTGGGGTGAGGGCATTGAATGAGCTGAGGGAGCTGAACAAGCCCCCTGAAACCCAGACATACCTCAGCCCCTGCATCTCTTAGGTACGTCTTCCCTGAGTAGCCAGCCTACTTCTCTGGAGTCTGGAGCTTAGAGTTGTGAGGAACATCAGGCCCTCTCCTGTCTGACCAACTTTCCCACAGTCAAACCAGATGGGCTTCAGCCTTCAGGGCAGCCAGTCCCTATTGTGTGGTTGCAACCGTCTCCTCCCAGGGTTCTGTTTTCAAAAGTTGGGCAGGGAGGGGGACAGGTTGTCACCAAGCTAAGAACGCTTCTTGGTCTCAGAAGAGGAAGTGGTTGTACACAGAACTTTATAGAATACCCTCCAACAACCTCTACAGCTCCTGGGGAGGTAGATGATGTAGGTAGGCAGCCTGAGTTCTCTCTGCTCCTCAGGGTACCCACAGGTCTACAGTCAACACACTCAGGGAGCCTCTTGAAAACAGGTCTCCTGGTACATTTGGATCCCTTAATGACAACAGACACACCCTGCCCTGTGTCAAGAGATGCTAACTGCCAGCAAAGCTACAAATCCATGTTCTGGGTTGCCAAAGCAGAGGGAGGAAGAGACCTGCAGGGAGAAAGTAATACTGACTGCCATGGGAAAGTACCAGGGCTCCTGACCCACAGAGGCATAGTACATGCAAAGTTTGGAGGTGGCTTGAGAGGCCCACAGGAACTAAGAGTGTAAGCTCCTGGAAAGTGGGAGTGGTCAGCCTAGGTAGGATCAGATTTCCAGGACACCATCCAGTAACAACAGCAAAGTGAATTTCGAGACATCAAATATGAACAAGGGCCATGAAGACAAATAGGTTAGGACAGCAGGTGAAGTGATGGGGTCTATGCTGGATCGGGTGGTCCAGGAAGAGTCAGTGGGCCAGATGTAGATGGACAGATGGGTATACAGATGATGGGTAGATGAATGAATGGATGGAAGAGTGAGTAGATAACTGGGCAAGTGGATACATAGATCCATGGGAGGATATGTGGATGGATGGAGGATGGATGAGGGTAAAGGATAGGTGGATGCGCGATGAATGATACGCTGGGAGGATAACGCAGGGAGACTGGCTTGATTCTAAGAACAACTAGGTCAGCAGAAGAGGGAAGCTATCTAGCAATGTCTAGTGTCAAGGCCTTAGCTCTAGGAAAGAAGTGATTTGACAATGATGGGGCTGGGGACATAGCCATAGCCTTCAAGCTTGAGAGTCATGGGGTTGGCTGAGAGGTAGAGACAGCCAGGTAGGAGCCCCAGGGTGTAGATGGAAGAGGTCGATGCACACAAGGGACCACTGAGGCACTGCATCCCCAGGTGCTCAGCTGAGGCCAGGATGGGGAAAAAGCAACTAGAACCCTCCAGGGCTAAGGCTGGCCGTAGAGCAGCCAGAAATGGAAGGCTAACCCTGGGACTAAGCCCAGTGTGACAACCAGTGGAGAGTTCTGTCTAGTCCTTTCCATCTGCCCAGCTGGACATCTGACCTGGTCTCTTATATGATACCAGTATCCTCTACTACAGGCACTGGTATCTCTGTACTCCAAGGACCTGCCCATTCCTCCCTCTTATGTAATTCTGGGTACAGACAGTATGCTTCTTGAGAGCTCCCTGAAAGGGCAGCTTAAGACCCTCCTCCCTGTCCTGAGGCTGTCCCCACACCCAGAGAAGACTACAGCACCATGCAAACTCTTCATAAGCAACACACCCTTGCCCTGGATCCAGTGCCAAAGTAAGATCCTTGAGGGCACGTGGCTGAGCCTCCTGATCCAGCCTCAACCACCTGAGAATGAAGGAGCAGAGCCCGGCCTCCCACCCCAGTCATGTGAGGACAGCTACCTGCTCCAAGGGTAGCACTAATGACAGACAGGTCAATAGGGCAGCACTGTGGTGAGACATCCCTTTCCCTCTAGGGTAGGACTGGAGTTGTTTTCCCCAAGTCCTCACCTATCCCCTAAGTTACCCATGTGTCACAGGCTCCTGAGCTGCCACCCTCAGTCTTGCCAACTTTGACTCCCACCCTTGACAATCTCAGCTTTCTCTTACAGGGTAACTTCTAGTCTCCCAACAACAGATTACATCAGTGGAAGTCATAGGCTAAGGACAAAGGTATAGAGGGCAAAGATGCTGCAGACCAAGTAGGTCTTTCCTGGGAAAGGCTGAGATCTCGCTGAGATGCCTCTGAGAGCAAGTCTGCACTGAGTCATAGGGGAGGGGTTGATGGGTGGGGTAGGAACTCACTCAAAGGTTCTGAAAGTATCATAGGGATTGTCAAGACCTCATCCTGGGGTTGGAGCACAGGTGAGAAACTGGCGAGCACTCGATGTAATCACCCATCCTGGAGTTATGACTAAGGGAGGCATCACATTACTTATCTAAGAACTGAACTCATCCCAAGTCTGTCCTCATTGCTAACACAATATAGACCCACTGACTCTTCCTGGACCACTCAACCTAGCATAGCCTCCATCACTCCACCTGCTGTCTAACCTATTTGTCTTGTTCATACTTGATGTCTTGAAATTCACTTTGCAGTCTTTACCGAATGCCCTGAAAATCTGAGCTCTGCATGTGCCTTGTGTGCATCTGTATTCTCATGTGTCCAGCATGGAGACATAAGCATGGATGACACTCTGCAAATCATGCTTATGGGAATGGGTGTGGACAGGCAGACAGATAGATGGATGAATCAATAGATGGACAGATGGCTATTTAGAAGATGGGATAGATGAATGGATGGAAGGATGAGTAGATAACTGGACAGATGGATACAGAGATCCATAGGAGGATAAGTGGATGGGTAGAGGATGGGTAGGTGGGTGAAAGATAGATGGATGAGTGAATAGGTGGACAGATGGGTAAGTGGATGGATAGATGGATGGCTAATGGGATGGGAGGATAAGTGGAAGTATATAGAATGGATGGATAAATTGGTAGGTAGATTATCAAATAAGTGGATAATAGGAGATGGTTGAATGATAGATTGATAAATGGATAAACTGATCAAGGGATGGATAAGTGAGTGAATGGGTAGAAAGTGAAGGATGCATGAATGATAGGTTGATGGATGAATAAATAGACAGATGGACGGACAGGGATAGATAGATGATTGACTGATAGATGGTGAATGAATAGATAATAAGCAGGTAATGGAAAGTGGATGGGTGAATGAATAAGTACATGGATGAATGGTTGAAAGATGAATGGTGGGAGAAGGTGCCTCTAGGGAATTAGTGGTGGCAGCCAGGGCCCCCGAGAATAATTTAAGTGAGTGAAGGCTATGTCAGGTGCCAGACAAGTGAGCAGTACCCATGTCTAGGTTTGTGACTCCATGCATAAAGGTTACTCCTGTGCCAGGAGGAAGAGTTGTAGAGGGAAAGCCCCAGGTCCAGAGGCCAAGCAATGACTCTTTTTCTTGAGTGATGCTGACCAGGGTTCTTTCTGCCTGTCTCTGTGTCATCTGAGGCTCTACCTTTGTGATTAAGGACAGAAGGGGCCCCAGGGAAACACTCCTCATTCTGTTGTCTGACTCACAGAGCATTTACATGGCCTTGCAGAAAAAAGAGCTAACACTAGGGTGTGGCGTGGGAAGCCAAGACTCTGGTGCCTTTGTCTAGTGTCCTCTCCACCAGCTGAAGGGGACCTACCCTCAGGTCCTAGTTTAGACAGATCTGTGTAGGTCAGTCCTCCTAGAGTGCTCCAGCCCCCACCTCTCTAGTTGTCATCCATGTAGTGCACTACACAGAGCAATGACATCTGTGTCCCTTTCTCCTTCTAGTCTGTGGTACAGGACTGTCCCTGCCTCTCTCCTCCCTAAGTGTCCTTTATACAAGAAGTGACTAGTAGTCATTATAAAGTATTATTAATGAATGATTGAATGAATGATTAAATGAATGAATGAAGTGCTTTGAAGTATAGGGTGGTTTGGGGGATCCTGGAGTATGCCTACACCTTATACTCCAAGATGTTTGAATATCTTCAGTCTAGGGATCTGACCTGTCTACTGAGTGCCCTCTTCAGGACAGGAAAGAAGGGTCCTAGACTGTACTTTCAAAAGGGCTGTGGTGCTCTGTTGCACCCATATGCCTTCCCTCTGAGCCACTTATGAGGCTCTTGTTATCTCCATGCCACAGCCATGAATGCAAGGGGGAGGGACATGAGCAGGGAGACCTCTGTTCCAGACAGAAGTCCAGGCTTATCTCTCAAATTTCCTGGCCAGCCTGCTGAGGTTAGGGAATGGGCAGGTCTGAGGGACAGATGATAGTGTTTCCTGTCCTCTTTCCCACTCATCCCACTTCCTGGGCAATAATCTTCTGTCAGCATCTCAAAGGTGGAAATTAGGCCTCAGCCCCAGACCCAGGAGTTATGAACCAGGACTGAGAGGGCCCATATTCTCAAGGCAGTGGCTCTGCATGAAGCAGGTACAGAAAGCAGACGTGAGGGAATTGATGGCTCCTGTGCCCATTCCATCTAGAACCGCCTACAAGCTCTTGCCTGGCCACTTCCAACAGGACCCTTTTTGACTGCCTCCACCACCAGAATCACATAGTCTTCTAAGGGCAAGTTTAGTATGTGGCTGTTTTATACTTCTATAGAACCAGCTGGGGATAGGCAGATGACACATCCTCCTAGTAAATCTTCCAAAGGCAAAGATCCTTCCCACCATGGATGCGGACCTCACCTAGGACCTCCAGATCCAAAATCCATGGCCAGCATGAAGCCTGAGGTTCCTGGGAGCAAGCAAGTATGCAGATACCTCCTCCTACCCAGGGTGTAAGCATAAAGCCTGTTGCACATTGCT